CGAAGCCTTTTTGGCAGCACAGAAATCATCACAGTGTTCTACTTCTGCTGGGAGTATCTCCTCGAATTTTGGGGAGAAAATTCCGGATGTCTTCCTTAATCAACTGGAGCATAACTGCAAGCTGTTTCGTGATAAGACGGTGAAGCAGCTGAAGCTTACAACAAAAGTGAAGCGGCTGAAGCAGATGTTTTGGGAGGGGAGGCTTCCCAAAGGCTTTAAGTCAGCCCCGATGACATACTTTGGTAATGATCCGGCAATCAAGATGGAGGGAGATGAGGAGTTTAAGAGGCTGGAACGTGAATATCACAAGACATGTTTCGAGACCCTTATCAAACTCCAAGATAAGGAGCTGCAGCAGTTGACAACCAATTTGGGCAATGCGCAGGAAGAGTTTCGCCAGCAGCTGCAGAAGATCCGTGAAATGGGACCCTCAGCCATCTTCACTGAGAGTTTTGGACGCTGGGAACCGAAGCTGTTGACCATGTTCGCAGAACGGATCAAGACAATCACGGTGGATGAAACCGTCTCCTACATCAATGAGCAAGAAGCAGCACAGCGTGAGACAGAACGCAAATCTTCTGCTAAAGCAACAGCAGAGAATATGGAGGTGGAACCCACAGTGTCAGAGATTGTTAACAAGTCAAACTCTGACCTTGCCAAGCGACTTGATGCAGTGGAGAAACAGCTACTCAAGAAGCCGGAAGTACAGAAACAGGCACCTCCAAAGGCTCCGCAGACAACACAGCCAACCGTACAACAAAGTCGACAGCAGCAGGCGCCTCGACAGCAGCAGTTACAGCCGCAACCCACCAACCAGTACTCGAATAAACCTTTACCTGGCACTTGGACCAACCAGTGGCAACCTTCTCCCGGGTATGGGTTTCAGGGACCCCAGGTTCCGAACTCTGGATTTCCAAAAAACGGGGAAGGGAGGGGGAGGGGAGGCAAAGGCAGAGGTTGGGGAAGAGGCTGGGGGAGAGGCGGAGGAAGAGGAGACGGATACGGAGGAGGAGGAATGTTTCAGGGCAGAGGCGATTCATGGGGCAGGAGCTAAGTGAGCTCAGGATCTCCAACTCTTCTATTTTGGGCAAATGACGGAATCTCAGCTCAAAAGGAGGGTTAGGAATCGGAGCATCTTCAACATGAGTAGCCGAAAACTGACAGCAGTTGAAGAGAAAGCATTAGCGCTTGGGCTGAACTTCATCCCGACACCGACTGCATCTCAATTCACATCTGATGAAGAGGTACTTTCTGCCTATGATTCATTCTGCCGTAATTTGAGATTGAGAGATTTCTTTGGAGATTCGGAGATTCCCAAGAGTTTTAGGATCCCTAACCCTTCTTGGGATGTTCCTTTGGATAAAAGGAACATGTTTCTTGAGAACGTGATGCAGCAACATCGGGAGGAGCTTCAACAAAGTCTGTTGAAGGCTCCTCCTAGGGCTGGCTCAAACATCTCTCACATGGTGAGGCATGCTTTGAGATCCCTTGCTTCCGATGAGTCAATCGTTGTGAAACCTGCCGATAAGAACTTAGGAATCACGGTTATGGATAGAGGCTTTTATCAGCAGCAGGCACTTGCTCACCTTTCTGATGCAGAAGTTTATAGGCAGGTGGACACCGTTCCCTTGTCTGTAATTTTGGAAGCTCTCTCCCGCATTCGGTTTGAGTTTTACCCGTGCCTTCCAAGGAAGACATGGGACTTCCTGGAGAATTCTCCAACCCGTGGATGGCAACCTGCCTTTTTCTACATCCCTTTGAAGATGCACAAGAAAGTGCCTGTTGGAAGACCGATTGCAGCCTCCCATTCATGGATCACTGCCAATGCTTCGAGATGGTTGGACTGCCAACTCCGTCCCTTGGTGTTAAAGCAGAAGACTTACCTTCGGGATAGCCAGAGCCTCCTCCTTCAGCTCGAGCAGCAGCAGGTTCCTTCCTCCGTGGTCTTGTGTACGTATGATGTGAGCAGTTTGTACCCATCTATCCCAATCTTTGAGGGAATTGAAGCTGTGGACAGGATTCTCAACAGAGACAGACATCCGTTGATCATTTCTCTTCTTAGATGGGTGATGTGCAATTCTTTTGTACAATTTGATGATATTGTGTATAAACAGGTTAGAGGTACGGCAATGGGAACCCCGGTCGCTCCTGTCTTTGCCATCCTGTATATGAGCTGGCTGGATGAGGAGTTGATGCGGAAGGTGACCATAGAGCCATTTTGTCATGTTAGATATATAGATGATGGGTTTATCTTGTGGGAGGGGAGTGTGGAGACTCTCCAGGGAGTCTTAGGAGCCTTCAACTCCCTTCGGCCCACGATCAAACTGACGTGGGAAATCAGCGAGGAAAGGATTGACTTCCTCGACCTTCAGTTCTACAAAGGGGAACGCTTCCACAAAACCAGAATTCTGGATGTGGCTAGCTTTCAGAAACCGATGAATCGGTATCTGTACATCCCCTTCTCCTCTTTCCACTCCAAGGAGTGTAAGAGAGGTTTCATCACAAGTGAGCTGAAACGTCACTGTCTGCGGAATTCTTCATTCAAGACCTTTTGGGAGAGGAAAGTCCTCTTCTTTGAAAGGCTGAAGGCCAGAGGGTACCCTGACTACTTCCTCAGGCCTATCTTCAACAGCGTTACACATCAGGACAGGCCGGCTCTACTTCGCAACTGCTAACAACACAAAGTGAGGGAAGTCCCCCAGTCCCTCAAGGTAAGAAGATGTCCAAGAACTCTGGACTTGGGGCTCGGGGTTTTTTTGAGAATTCTCAAAAAACATACGCTGCAACATATTTCCCTCCCTCGGATGTTAGTGTGTTGGCGTTTACCAAAGAGGGTACGTAACCTCTTGGTGAAAGCGAGGTTTCAGAAACGGGGATACACCAACCCCGTAAGTTGATGGGATTGAATTCGTCCCACCAACCTGCATGTTTGATTGACATTGCAAATGTTGTATAAGCCAGCTAGCGAGCCGCGATGACGAGCCGCACTGGAACTTTTGCTTTCTGGTTGAGTGTTGGGCACGGTAGATGGGAGTAGAAGGGGTAGTCTTTTTCATGTAACTCTGAGAGCGCTGATGAAGGCCACCGGCCGAAATGCGCGTACGCTCAGGTTTGAATAAACGATTTCTTACCTACTATCCCTACTAGCCTTAGCTCAGCCATTAGGACAAGCTACCTGTTGGAATAGGACGAGTCACCTGCTGGATCCAGGTCGAAACTTTATACGTATGCCTCAAGTGCATGCGCGCACTCACTCTTGCACTCACAACTGCCTTTGCACCCGGATTCAAAGCTGCACTCGCACCCTCGCACTCTTGCAACCACTCACGTCACACATTTAATTTCAGCCGTTCTTAGACACACTAACAGAAACACACACACACCATCGCACTCACCTTCAAACTCGCGCTTGCCCTCACTCTCAAACTCACTCAAACGCTTTCACAAAAAACACACACACACAATCGCCCGCACCATCAAACTCAACTCACACTCACACCCACACTCACACTCACACTTGCCCTCGCACTCACACTCACACTCACTCTCCAACTTGCCCTCGCACACACCATCTCACACACCCTCGCACTCACACCTGCGATCACGCTTGCGCTCACATCGCAGTCTCCATCGCACTTACTCTCGCGCTCACTCTCACGCGCGCCCTCATGCGCGCTCTCACGTGCTCTCTCACGCGATCTTTAAAGCGCACTCTCACGCGATCTCTCACGCGCCCTCGCATGCGCTCACTTACGCGCACTCTCACACGCGCTCTCACGCGCACTCTCACGCGCACCCTCACGTGCACCCTCACGCGCTCTCTCACGCGCTCACTCATGAGCTTTCTCACACGCTCTCTCACGCGCACTCTCAAGCGCACTCTCACGCGCACTCTCACGTGCTCTCTCGTGCGCTCTCTCATGCGCTCTCTCACGTGCTCACTCAAGCGCTCACTCACGCGCTCTCTCACGCGCACTCTCACGCGCACCCTCACGCGCACTCTCACGCGCTCTCTCACGCGCTCTCACACGCACTCTCACGCGCACTCTCACTCGCACCCTCACGCGCACTCTCACTCGCTCTTTCACGCGCTCTCTTACGCGCTCTCTCACTCGCTCACTCACGCACTCTCTCACGCGCACTCTCACGCGCACTCACGCGCTCTCTCACGTGCACTCTCTCTCGTTCTCTCTCACGCGCACACTCACGCGCACTCTCACGCTCACTCTCACGCGCACTCTCACGCGCTCTCTCATACGCACTCTCACGCGCAATTTCACGTGCACTCTCACTCACTCTCTCACAAGCTCTCACTCACCCTCTCACACGCTCTCTCATGCGCTCTCTCACGCGCTCTCTCACACGCAATCTCGCACGCTCTCTCACGCGCACTCTCACGCGCACTCTCACGCGCACTCTCATGCGCCCTCTCACGCCTACTCTCACGCGCACTCTCACGCGCACTCCCACGCGCACTCTCACGCGCACTCTCACGTGCTCTCCCATGAGCACTCTCACGCACTCTCTCACACGCTCTCTCACGCGCTCACTCACGCGCTCTCTCACACGCACTCTCACACGCACTCTCACGCGCACCCTCACGTGCACCCTCACGCGCTCTCTCACGCGCTCACTCACGAGCTCTCTCACGCGCTCTCTCACGCGCACTCTCAAGCGCACTCTCACGCGCTCTCTTGCGCGCTCTCTCGTATACATGGGCAACGAGCCGAGCCGAGTTTTACTCGGCTCGTCCCCAGGCACACTCGTACGAGCTTTGTTCCGAGCCGAGAGCTTTTTCCCGGCAAATGCAAGCTCGTGACTCGGCTAAATAGCACGAGATTTTCAAAAGCTCGGCCGAGCTTCAAGGAAAGCTCGGACGAGCCGAGGGAAGCTCGGCTCGTTGCCATATACATTCACGTACTTGCTTATGCTCACGTACGAGTCTCCCAAAAAGCTCGTCAGCGCAACGAGTGCTTGGCGAGTTTAAAAAGCTCGCCGAGTTAAACTCGGCTCGGCTCGGACGAGCTATTTCCAAGGAAAAGCACACTCGTCACTCGCCCTCGAACGAGTGCCTCGTACGAGCCGAGGGGAAAAACTCGCCTCGTTGCCCATGTATACTCTCTCGTGCGCTCTCTCACGCACTCACTCACGGGCTCTCTCACGCGCACTCTCACGCGCACTCTCACGCGCACCCTCACGCGCACTCTCACGCTCTCTCTCACGCGCTCTCTCACGCGCTCTCTCATGCGCTCTCTCACGCCCACTCGCACGCGCACTCTCACGCGCACCCTCACGCACACTCTCACGCGCTCTCTCGTGCGCTCTCTCACGCGCTCACTCACGCGCTCTCTCACGCGCACTCTCACGGGCACCCTCACGCGCTCTCTCACGCGCTCTCTCACGCGCTCTCTCACGCGCACTCTCACGCACTCTCTCACGCGCTCTCTCACGCGTTCTCTCACGCGCTCTTTCACGCGCTCTCTCACGCGCTCTCTCACTCGCACTCTCAATCGACACACAAAAAATACGAAGAGAGCAAAAAAAAAAAGAGGAAATTTCAGAGGGGGGAGGGACCGGGAACGCACCTGATAATCACGGTGCCTCAGAAAACAACCCGCGCTGGCGCACCAACCCAAGCTCGCGCACCAACCCGCGCTCGCGCACCAACTCGCGGTTGCACTCGTGCACCAACTCGCCGGAGGCGACGGCGGGGAGGAGGGAGAGGCGACGGAGGGGAGGAGGGAGAGGCGACGGCGGGGAGGAGGGAGAGGCGACGGCGGGGAGGAGGGAGAGGCGAAGGCGGGGAGGAGGGAGAGGCGACGGCGGGGAGGAGGGAGAGGCGACGGCGTGGAGGACGGAGAGGCGACCGCGGGGAGGAGGGAGAGGCGACGGCGGGGAGGGAGAGGCGACGGCGTGGAGGAGGGAGAGGCGACGGCGGGGAGGAGGGAGAGGCGACGGCGGGGAGGAGGGAGAGGGACGGCGCGGAGGAGGGAGAGGCGACGGCGCGGAGGAGGGAGAGGCGACGGCGGGGAGGAGGGAGAGGCGACGGCGGGGAGGACGGAGCGGTGACGACGGGGAGGAGGGAGCGGCGACGGCGGGAGGGAGGGAGCGGCGACGGCGGATGGGAAGGAGAGGCGACGGCGGGTGGGAGGGAGAGGGGATGGCGCGGTGGGAGGGAGAGGGGATGACGGAGTGGGGGGAAGCGGCCATGGAAATGTGGAGGGAGAGGCGATAACGAGCTAGGTGGGTGGCAGGGAGGGAGAGGCGATGACGAGCTGGGTGGGTGGGAGGGAGGGAGAGGCGATGATGAGCTGGGTGGGTGGGAGAGAGAGGCAACAGGTGGGTGGGAGAGGAGAGGCGATGACGAGGTGGGAGGGATTGGGTTGGTTTGGGGAAGTGCCAAGGGAGGTGGGGCAGTAACTACAGTAACTAAATTTGAGGAATTGGTGTTGTTGTGCAACTGCGTGAAAAAGACGAGGCACGAAACACTTGGGGCGATCTGAAAACATGAAAAAACTTCGGCACTTGAAAACAAAAACAGACTCGTGTCACGTGAAAATGCACACATAATCCAGTGACACACCCTGCTTGCTGAAACATTTGAGTGAGCTGGAAAACAACTTACTATGAACCACACTTTTACTAGCAAGAAGCTCATAATGTTACAGAATATCATATTTGAGGATAGAGAACATCGTTCTCAAAGTGGGAATGCAACGGAATGGATGAACTAGCAAAGTGTTGGATACAAATAGGAAACCCTAACATCTGTACCCTCTAGAATGCATCTCACTACAGCCTATAACTATGATAGTTGACACACCCCCATAGGCTAAGTGAGGGGCATCAAAACAAGCAAGGCAGACAAACGATCACAAGACCAGTCAAGACAAGAAGCAAAGCAAGCTCAAGGTGGATCTCAAGGACACCACACAAATTCCGAGCACAAGCAAGCGGCCACAAGGCCAGTTCAAGAGTTCACTAGGATATATATAGGAAAGCACAACAAGCAGAGCAAGCAACAAGACTACAGCAACCGAGGGCCTACCTCAACAAGCCCCAACTGCACACAGAACCTGTGGTGGTCACCAAGCGCCAGTGCCTTGGTGAAGACGTCTGCAGTGTTGGCCTCTGAGGCCACAAAGTCCAGGCGTGCCTGACCGCGTCGCTGCAACTCTCGCAGGAGGAAGTACCTCACGTCAATATGCTTCACTCTGCTCTCCAGTCGAGGCTCTCGACAGAGGAGGATCATGGCCTTGTTGTCAGCGTACAAGTTCGGTGCAGAGCGAGGCCGCTCACCAAGGTCGGCGAGCAAGAAGGTCAACCAGCGAAGCTCCTGTGCCGCCATGGCACCAGCGTAGATCTCTGCCTCTGCACTAGAAGTAGCCACAGATGACGACCGTGTAGACCTCCACGACACAGCACCAGCTCCCAGACTAAAGCAGTAACCCTGAGCTGAGCGCTGAGTCTCCACGTCGTCACCGTAGGATGAGTCGCAGTGACCAGTCAACGCCACTGGCTGAGTCCCTCCAAGCACAAGCCCTATGCCTGATCTAGTCGCCAGGTACTTCGCCACCCTCACAGCAGCTGTCCAGTGGACAGGACGGTGTCTCCCAGTCGCAACAAAGCGAGAAAGGATGCTGAGGGGAAAGGCGAGGTCCGGCCGAGTACAAGTCATCAGGTACATGAGGCAGCCCACCAGCTCTGCGTAGGGACCACTGGACTCAAAGGGCTCGTCCGGAAAGGGGCCAGTGAGTCTGTGGTCAACAGCAAGAGGTGTGGGCTGTGTGGTGGAGAACTGGAAGTCGAACCGCCGAAGGACCTGCTGCACCATGTGTGACTGAGTCACTGTGATGGTGCGAGCGGCTCTGTCCCTGGTGATGTGCACGCCAAGGTAGCGCTGCAGTTCACCTAGGTCAGTGCACTTGTGTCTCTTCTGCAGTTCGGACTTCACCTGAGCTAGAGCTGCCCTGTCTGCTGTAGCAAAGACCAAGTCGTCGACGTAGACAAGGATGAAGAAAGGAGAGGAACCAGCCCAAACAAACAGCGACGGGTCGGCGGACGACGGACTATATCCAAGGTCACGAAGCGTGGAGCGAAGAGTGTCGTGCCACTCACGGGGCGACTGGCGGAGACCGTAGACTGGCCGCCTCAGGCTCCACTGGGTCCCAGGTGGGAAGGTGTCAGTGAAGCCAGGAGGGCGGCGCAGCCACATCTCCTCGTGTAGTCGGCCCTGGAGAAACGCAGTAGAGAAGTCAAGGGAGTGCAGCTCGTAGTCTCGCTGTGCTGCTACGTGCAGTAACACCCGAAGAGTAGTCATCTTCGGGGTCGGGGCGAAGGTCTGGAAGAAGTCAACTCCCTCGCGCTGACTGAAACCCCTAGCCACTTAGCGCGCCTTGAACACAGGCGGTGAACAAGACGGCCGCTTCACCTTGAAGAGCCATATGCCATCGACTACGTTCGCCCTAGGAGGGGGAACTGCGTCGACGTAGGTGCATGTGGATCTCGAAAACACTAACTCCGAGGCCATAGCCGCTTACCACTGTGAGGCCCACGCCCCTGACACTGCCTCGCGGTAAGTACGAGGAGTCGGCATGTCAAGGGCGTCGGGGTCTCCCTCAGGGGATAGCAGCATGGCACAGACAGAGGGAGAAGCGGCTGGCCAGTACTCCAGCTCAGACTCTCTGTCCTCTAGGACGTCACAGCCAAGGGCAAACTCACCCCCGACGGACAGAGGACGGGAGGGAGGAGCTGGCACCACACGGGTGGTGTAGTCAAGGCGACTGGCGGCAGCAAACTCAGCGACAGCGGCAGTGAGAGCCGAGACAGACGACGGAGGGAAATGAGAGTCGGTGACAAGAGTGACGAGGACACGAGAGACAATAGGACGAACATCACGGTAGTAGTCAGTGACAGGAGTAGGGGGGAAAGGGAGAGAGGACGGAGGAGGAGACGGGAGAACGGACTCAGGAGGAGGACGACGAGGAGACGAAAAGGAGGGCAATGCGGAGGCCGGTAACGGGAGACGAGTGACGAGCACGCGGAGGACAGAGACGGACACGAGAGTGTGGGACAACAGGTGGAAGAGACTGCGGTGGAGGAGAAGACCAGACCGCCGGAATGTCGTCAGGAGGAGGAAACGTGGGACCATACGCTGGAGGGGACGGAGTGTGAACAGGAGGAGAGGAGGGAAGACCAAGGGCCCGAAGGCCACTCACGGGTGGGAACAACTGCCGCTCCAGAGGGAGCTGCGGTGGTCGCGGCTGCAGCGGTGGTGTCTGCTGCTCCAGCAGGTCCAACTGCCGCAACTCCTGCCGCTCCCTCTCCAACAGCACCTGCTCCTCACGCGCACGCCGACGGGCCGCCTGGAGACGCGTGTCGTGGCGGTGGGGAGGCGGAGTGGACTCCGCAGAACCAGTGTCTCCAACTCCAGTCTCCTCAGAACCAGCACCTCCAGTGCCAGCGCCTCCAGCACCAGCACCCCCAGAACCAGCAACTCCAGTACCAGCACCCCCAGAACCAGCACCTCCTGAGCCAGCACCTCCAGCTCCAGCACCCCCAGAACTAGCACCTCCAGTGCCAGAACCTCCAACTCCAGCACCCCCAGAACTAGCACCTCCAGTGCCAGCACCTCCAGCTCCAGCACCCCCAGAGCTAGCGCCACCTGCGCCAGCACCTCCAGCTCTAGCACCCCTCGAACGAGCACCCCCAGACCGAGCACCACCAGCGGCTGCACCTCCAGCTCCAACACCAACCGAGTCCACAGTAACCTGTTGCGGAAGTGCCGAAGGCTGCTGAGGGGACTGTGAGGAGGACTGCGGGGAGGGAGACGCTACCTGACGCGCGACCGAGGGTAGAGGGGTAGCGTGGGACACACCAGACGGGGCAGGACCAGGGGGGGGCGGGGATACCGGAGGAGCGGGAGCAGGAGGAGGAGATGGTGCAAGGAATAAGGGGGGAGGGGGTACCGGGAGACCTCGACAGGGGTACCGGGTGTATTAGGACACGGACTCGTCAAACCGGACGTCACGGGAGTCTAGGAACTGGTGGAGGGGAGGGTGGTAAAAGGACCAGTCGGCAGAGTCCACCGGGAAACCAAGGAAGACCCAGGGGACGGCGCGTGCCGAGAGCTTGTCCGCGGAGGTGTCGCGAACAAGCGCAAGGCAGCCCCAGACACAAAAGGCCGACCCAACACCAGGGGACCCGGTCCAAAGACTGGTCGGTGAAGCCTCGGGCCGCGAGACGCGCGGCTGGAGGTTCAGCTGGTGTGCGGCATAGCGAACCGCGTAGGGCCACAGAAAATGGGGCGCACGGGCATGGATCATGGACGTGCGAGCAATGTCCATGACCAAGCCAATGCGGCGCTCAGCAACCCCATTCTGCTGTGGGGACTACGGAAGCGTCTAGGACTGTACGATGCCCTGTTCGCCGCAGAATCCGCCAAGAATGTCGGAGCGAAACTCGCCCCCGCGGCCGGAGTCTAGACAACTGACACGACGACCACGAGTGCCCTCAGTGGCCAGAAGCCACCGGATCAGCGTAGCAGTCACCTCGGACTTCTTCGCTAGAGGAAACACTGTGGTGTACCTGGAGAAGTCGTCGACGACCACCAGAAAGTAACGCTCCCTCCCAGATCCTTGCGTCGGGGCAGGGCCCCAGACGTCCAAGTGGAGAGTCTCGAAGGGAGCAGTGGCCGGACGAAGGGAGGAGGAGTGAGGAGTGGCGCGTAAGCGACCGACGACGCAAGGAGTGCAAGGGGGAGCAAGTGAGGTAGGGAGCGACGGAAAGGTGCGTGGGAGACCTGTGACAAGCCCCGGGCTGGTCATGCCGCGGAGGCGGGGGATCGACGGGTGACCAAGGCGGTGGTGCCACACGACGGTCTGGTGGGTGAGGGAGCGACAGGAGCAAGACGCAGCAACCGGACAGGACACCGCGACCGGACTAGACACTGCAACTGGACCAGACACGACCACCTGGCTAGACACAGTAACCGGACTGGACACCTGGACTGGAGGGGACACAACGACCTGAGCGGAGGACGCAACCGGGGTGAGCTCGGTGTGGAGAACGTAGAGACCGGAGCGGGGTTCCCTGGTGAACGTGGCCAGAACAGCACCTGTGGCAGCGTCTGTACAGACCGCAGTCCTCCCACCCCCCACAAAGGTAACCGTGATCCCCCTGTCCTGGAGGTAATCAACACCCACCAAGTTCCGAGTGAACGAGGGGATGTGGAGGCCACGCAAAACACCAGAGGGGACCACAGGACACGGGAGGGTAGTGGAGCTACGCGCAACGGCTGGTCCTGAGGTAGGATCGGCCAGAGCTACCGAAACAGGAGTGAGGAGTGGCGTGAGGCTAAGTTGGTCATTTACGCCTAAACCGCCCACGTACACGTAAAGTACGCGTACATTTACGTGTACGTGTACGTACGCGTACGTACGTGTACGTACGTCGGGCAGGTTACAAAATTTTCCGTGCGGATTTTTCTTTCTCCGAAATTTCCCTAGGAAATTGTTCATTGCATTCATCGACATGGTGTTCTGTATCTTAGGGAAAGGGCGCGACGTGAATCGTCTTATTCAATATTGAAGAGTTACTAAGGTGTCGATGTAGAATATACTAGGCACCTAGCTAGGTACTAAGTTAACTACGGTACTA